ATAAATAAAAAAAAATAAAAACATTGAAAGAAACGAACCCAAATCGAACATCTTCATCCTTGCTGCCATTGATTCTCGCCCTTCTTCTTCCCCATTGCTTCTTGCCTTTGATTGTCGCTCATTTTTCTCTCCACGTACTGCTTCGCCGTTTGGGGCAGAGGGTTTTACTGGTTTAGTGATTTGATTTGAGATGTGGGTTTGGGCATTAGGTGGGTCGTGGGTGGGCACCGTGGGCTTGTCATATTTTTTTTTTTTTTTTTTTTTTTTAATGCGTGGGCTTGTCATTTTAAATAATAATAATAATAATAATAATAAGAAGGGGGGTTGTAGGTTTTTTTTTTTTTTTTTTTTTTTTTTTTTTGAATGCTACTGACTCTATTACATTATAGTATTTGTTCGATTTATTTATTTAATAATAATAAATTTTCAATAATAATAATAAATAGTAATAGTAATAAATTTATTTAATAAATAATAATAGTAATAATAATAATAATAATAATAATATACTCATACCCTTAAAGGTCATTTTACATGCTATCAGTTAATACTAAACAGTTAATTTATCAAACACTTTTTTTATAATCAGCTAATACAATCAACTGGTCAAACCAACTAAAACAATCAGCTATCAACCATTTACCAAACACCCCCCAAAAAAACATCTCATGAAAAACTAAAATACGCAGCTCAGCAGAGTTCACCCTTGCATCACTTGCCCCTTGCTGCCCTAACTCCTAAGTAGTTCATTCAATAATAACCGGCACTAGAGAGTTACAAACTGGCCTAATAAGCACTTACATACCAGCCACAACTGGGATCACATCTCGTTTCAGCTTCCCAATTTAGAATTTTGGAACACTTTTACACATTAGTCTCTCTACCTCTGACCTAAAGTGTCAGTGTACAAAAACCAATATCCCTTACTTGATCACAGAACTTTAAATATCCACTCACACCAGCTTTCAAATACACAATACAGAATTTCATTTAAGTACAAAGCATCCACTGATTCACATCTTTATCTTTATTCTAACAATAATTCTAATTCCACAATAAAAACTTAATTGTTTTTTTTTTCAACTACTGTTTGGCGTTTTATATTAAAAGGGAAAAAAAATGTCATGCCAGTTTATTTCATGACTATTCTATCCGCATTGTACTTCGTCACGATAACACAATTTTCAGTCATGTATGATGTATTGAACTCTACCAAAATTGACAAAAACAAACTTGAAAATGTGCTTCAAGCTAAATCAACACTAAAATTTCTGCGACTCCCCTTTTAAACACGACCAAAAGGCTTCAAATAGGAATTAATTTCTTAAAAAAAAAACATGTATTTAGATTGAAATGAAATAAAAAGCCAAGAAAGTAGGATAAAAATAGCAGTAAACATAAATATTATAGATTGAAGTTGCTAGAAAGGTACGCTGTTCACGAGCAATCAATGAAAATAATGAGAGCCGAAAATGAACTTACGGAGAACGGATTTGCGCCTCTATAGACTACGTAAGGGAGAATGGCAAGAATATGAGAATTGAGATATGATTCTGGAATTAGGTTTTGTTTTATAGTTTGGGAAATTTTCTAAGTTCATCAGTATATCACCAACAATATGTAATTGTTTAAAACTATTTTACCAAATTTTATTTTAAAATAGTACCATATTATTTATGATAGCGGTCACAGTCATTTAATTTTCTTGTAAATTTGGACAAAATTTTGGGGCAAACGAATATGTCAAGTTAAATTGCCTAATAAACAAAATTAAGAATTAGGCAAGTAGAATTACCAAATAAATCCAAAGAATTAATGTTATACTATTTTTGATATTTTAGTGTTTAATAATTTACTATTAATAATTTTCAAAAATAATAATAATTTACTATTAATATGATAAATAGAATTAATAATTTCAAATAAATATAAATAATGCCAGAATATTTTGGTATTTTTCATATTTAATATGCATTATTAATTTGATTAAATATAACTTCTCAATGTTTTAAAATCGATTAACCATAAATGATTTTTTAAATTTAATTATTATGTGAACTCTTCATTGATAAGTTAATCAATTTATAATTATTGATAAAAATAATTTTAATTATAGCTAAGGGAGGATGTTGTAAATATATCTATAAAGTGATTATTATTGTTTCTAAAATACTCATAATTCTTTACAAAGTAGTATTTATTATATATTTTCACAAACATTTTTAGCCTAAAGAATCTAAGCCCCCATCACCGTGGTTGGAATCTATAAAATGGTCATTATCTTAGTTTTAACTTCCCTGGTTGGATACAGTTTTCCCATCATTGTATATGTATATATATTAGCGTTTGTTAAATAAAAATTCTATTTTGAGTTCTTGAGTTCAACTTCTTCTTCTCTCCTCTCTTTTTCTCTATATTGTTTTGAGTGTACAATTTAATAAGGTTCACACGAGATGACGTTGTAATTTATAACAATTGTTTTTTTTTTTTTTTTTTTTTTTTGTAATTGTCAATGAAAATTATGTTGTGATTTTAATATGCAAAATAATATTATTCAAAAATATACATGTAAATGTTAACAATTATCACTTTGTTAACATTTCACTCAATTCTACCATTATTCATTTAGAATAATACTTTAAGACTAAATTTGGTTAATAATTGTTGGAATTAATTTTAGGAATCGTACCTTTTTTTTTTTTTTTGAAAATTTAGGAATCGTACCTTGATTATTGATATTTACCACTTTTATTTTTAACTTTCAATTGGATCGTAAATGGTCAATCGACTATTGACGCTTACTAATTTTCATCATCGACTTTTAACTTGACCATAAATGGTCTCTTGACTATTGATTTTATTCCAAATTTAGTCATCTAGTTAAATATCAATTTAGTAAATATTAAATTTAAGAAAAATAATGTACGAATTTGGTTCTTCATATTTTCACTAATGATGAACTAATGGCTCGTTTGATTCGCGAAAAATATTTGAAGAATGAAATTAAATTTTCATGAAAAATAATTTAGGAATCCCTAATTTGGCTGCACCACCTTTCCACCACTCCTCAACACCCCTCGTGTGGCCTTGCCCCCACCCTCATAGTCTCTAGAAACGTCAAACTCCCATTATACACTCTCCACATTTACACATTCATTTTTTTTTTTTTTTTGATATACCCAGGGTTTCCACTGTCGGACACAGTGACTAATTCTCTCGTTAAATTGTAACCACCTCTTTTGAGTGGGACAGCTGACCTAGAGATTTAACCCAGCTCACACATCCATTATTGACATCATTTCTACAATTCCATAAACCCCAACACAACATAATAATCCCTCACAAAGTCTCAACCTCAAAGATGTCAAAACAGTGTTGTAACCAATCCAACATATCCCCCCAACCAACACCCTGTATCACCACTCCAAGCCTTCCCCAACACTTTACCAATTAGAAAATAAATTTTAACACAACTTGTAGAAAGAAACAAAAAAACTTATACCAAATCTTATACTTGAAAATAGTGTAGGCAAACCTAAGAAGAGAAGAGTACAGTTATACAGTATTTGTAAAGATGCAAGAAAGAAAATACAACGCATAAGTCATCACCACACAATTGATTATACTACTACAATTTTAATTCCAATTATAACATAATAATTAGGCTTAACATTATTTTCAAAAAAAAAAAAATTAGGCTTAACATTATTAAGAAAAAACTGAGAAGATGACGAATAAAATTGAAAATTAAATCTGCATAATTATAAACAAAAAAAGCACAAAGTATAAGTCTTTGATGTAATCTATTACATCAACACAAAATTTATTATTGTTATAATATCTTATGGCCTATGAGCCCCCTCTAGAGATAGGCTCTGAGAAGGGGCCATGCCTGCCCTCGCCTATGGGTTGGGCCTGGTGATTTACTGGCTGCACAAAATGGCCCAGTGTGTTGTATGAATGAGCCTCATTTAGTGGAAGCTCTGGCTATCAAGGAGGCTCTATCATGAGTTTTGAAACACGGATGGAGAAACATTGTGATCTTCTCAGATTATCAAAATGATTTGTAGATTGCTCAATAATGGTTTGTCTGACTTCTCTTATGCGGGTCGTGTCATGAGAGAATGTCGCTTTTTAAATTGACACTAAATTGGTGTCTATTCAGTTTATACGTATATACGTAGATCAATAAACAAATTTGCTCATGCTTTAGTTAAGACTATGAGTTCTCAATTTAATCCCTCTATTTGATTATCTGTTATTCCTTTATGTCTTGAACATTTGATTATTTAAGTTTTGAATGAATGCTACTTAAAAAAAATAAAATTTATTGATGTAATATTAAATTGATGGATTTAATCTCTATATTTGCTTTAAGAGTAAAAGACATTTTTGGTCCTAGACTTATAGTGGCACGGACAATTTTAGTCCTTTTTAAAAAAATCAGACAATTTGTGGACACTCTTATTATGACGAGGACAATTTTGGTCCTCCGTCTAAATTTCCGTTAGATGGCATGTTAAATAGGGGGTAATTTCGTCTTATCAAGTGTCCTTCATTCTTTCCCTTTTTATTCCCTTTTTATTCCCGGAGCGTAAGAGTCAATTCTTCGTCGGAGCATAATTGTTTGATTCATAACGATGGCCTCGAAGCTTCTAGCCGCCGTTTTCCGCCGCTCGTTTGATAAACCCTACGCCATTCTCCGTCCTTTTTCGACCTCTGCTGCTGCGGCGGCGGGAGTAGAGCCCTATGAGGAAGAAACAGCTGGAGTCACCATGAAAGGAGTGAAGATCTCCGGAAGACCTCTATACCTGGATATGCAGGTCACTTCTCCGGTGGATCCGCGTGTGCTTGACGCCATGCTCCCTTATTATCTCTCGCGATTCGGGAACCCTCACTCTCGGACTCACCTCTACGGCTGGGAATCGGACCAGGCCGTCGAGACCGCCCGGGCGCAAGTTGCGACCCTAATTAACCCTTCTCCGAAGGAGATTATCTTCACTTCCGTCATCTGCAGCAAGAGGGCTTCGATGTTACTTACCTTCCCGTTGAACCCGACGGGCTTATTAACCTAGACAAGCTCAGGGCGGCGATTCGGCCCGACACAGGCCTGGTTTCGGTCATGATGGTGAATAATGAGATTGGGGTTATTCAACCCGTTGAGGAAATCGGAAAAATTTGCAAAGAATTCAATGTGCCTTTCCATACCGATGCGGCCCAAGCTTTAGGGAAGATTCCAATCGAGATTGATAGAGCGGTGGGGCTTACTGTGCACCAAGTCGAGAAATTGAGGGAAATGAGCCCCCTTTATGAGATGGTTAAGGAGGGTATTGACATTAAGAGTATCGAATGGACACAACACTGAATGGTTGCATTCTTTGGGCATTTTCTGCTACTGACAATGATTAACCAGAGATGAACACGCTAGGTGAGGTTGCAGATCAGGCATAGAGACTGCAAGCAATCAAGGTTTTGTCCAAGAATGCGCCCATTACATGCTTCTTTATGTTTTGTTCTGCAGGATAAATATTGCAAGTGAATTGGTATTTATATATGTTGAGATTGTATGTCTCTGATATTTGTACCCTCTCCCTTGCCATACAGATGGAAAAGCATACATTGGCAGTCCCATAATTCAGCTGTGTTGATATTGATTGATGTTTTAAGATTTTGGGTGTGCAGATTTTGGTATGTATTTGCTAATTTATATATTGGTTAGCAATTTTCTTGCCCACATTCACAAACTTGAATCGAAATCCATTCACCATTCACCAGGATTGCTTCTTCAATCTGCCTCTTCGCTCGTCAATCTCGAATGAAGAACAGAACCACATTGCCGTATTAAAATGGAGGACGTAAGCTGAAAAGACAAATGTACCCCCTATCTAACGGGCCATCTAACAGAAATTTAGACGGAGGACCAAAATTGTCCTCGTCATAATAAGAGTGTCCACAAATTGTCTGATTTTTTAAAAAAGGACTAAAATTGTCCGTGCCACTATAAGTCTAGGACCAAAAATGTCTTTTACTCTTTGCTTTAATATTCTTGGGGCTCAATGTATATTCAAAAGATAAAGAGTTGCGTTCTCGAATATAAATCAGTGTGGGGGCTATTTGTGTAATTACTCTAATCGTAGTTTTCCAACTGATCAAGAAAAGGAGAATAAAGTATTAAGAAACTCATTTTAATACCAGCCTGAATCAAACCAACCCGACCCGAATTGAAACTGTTGAAGGTCATTCCTTCTCAACTTCTCATCTTCTGAAAAACTGTGGATTGTGATTAGAAACCCTAAACCCGCGATCAAAGAATGGCGACGGTGGAGGTGAGAAAGAGCACAACCGAATCAGGGAGAGAAGATAGCTGTTCAGCGAAGCCGATGAAGCAAGGTGAAGGCCTGAAGCAGTACTACATGCAGCACATCCACGATCTCCAACTCCAAGTCCGCCAAAAGGGTCATAATCTCAATCGGCTCGAAGCCCAGCGTAACGAGCTCAATTCTAAAGGTTAGGTCGATAACAGTATATATTTCAAAAACCCTACATTTAGCCCCGATTATTAATGGAATTGTCTATCTCTGAGTTATGATTTAGTGAAATTGTGCTATGTTCTGCAAAATAATATTCACGTGCATAAACCAGTGTTCTTTTTTATCTTTGTTTATTGTCCTTGTGTTATGTCGGCCATGTAGCGGGGCGCTTGATTTCTGTAGGAGTAGCTCTTTGCGAGTAGAAAGTTAGCATCTTGATCAGATTAACTATATAATATGGTGTTGGTATTGGTATTGGTCCGGATGTATTTAAGGAAATGTAATATTCTTTAGGAGAATAGCATTTTTCTAATGCTATAATTAGTGCTAATGTGCTATAGAGGTTTGTCTCTTGTTTATTTCATTAATGTATGCAGCTGGAAAGAATGTGGTGAGTTCCTTTTTCTTTTTGGGTGACGAGGGAACCCGCAGGCACTACCCGAGGGTGTGCACGGGTAAATCCTGCTACCCCGCCTTGTGATCTTAGCCGGCAAAGGATTACAAGGAGGTAAACTAGCTTAGGTTACCTTCTCAAACCATGAAGGTCATTGGGAGTCGAACTTGTAACCTTGTGATTATCAAGTCAACAATTTAACCAACTTGGCTAGGGTTGCTCCAATGTGGGGAGTCCCTTATTTATATAGTACTCTGTATGTGGTAATTTTTATTACTTCTGAAATTCATTGAGGAGAGCAAGTAAATTAACTGAATGTAAGTAGACTTAATTTTAGGATGGTTTATTTTGAAGTGAACCTCTAGATTCCAATTATTGTAGTTTTGCATTAATTACAAATTTACTAAATTACTAGTATTGCAAACACTTGTCTTTGTATGTGTGCCTGCACATGATTTTGTCTTTGTGTGGGATCAAGGGCAACTATCACTTGGGTATTTTGGTTAGTTCTATTGGTGAATTTTGGTTCTAATCTTCGTTTTGGTTATTTTGGTCCTTGATTGATTTGTTCCTCTCCTTTCACAAGATTTTCTGGGTTTCCACCTTGGTATTTTTTTTGGGGGCTGGGGGTGGGGATACCGGGTGATCAGTGATGGTTTTATATTATTATTATTATTATATTATATTTTATTTATTTAAATTTTTGATGAGTAAAAACTACAAATTGCTCAGTGATGTATTCCATTTTTTGTTTATTTCCATTGAGCAGTGAGAATGTTGAAGGAAGAGTTACAACTGCTTCAGGAGCCTGGATCTTATGTCGGTGAAGTTGTCAAAGTGATGGGGAAGTCAAAAGTTTTGGTTAAAGTAAGTTTAACCCCCACCCAAATGTTATTAATTGAATTTGTACGGAGTATTTAAACTAACAAGTAACAACTCTGTGTGTGTGTGTGTCTGTATATATATTATACTCATTATAGAAACTCTTTATCGTATATTGTTCTACAGGTACATCCTGAAGGCAAATATGTTGTTGACATTGATAAGAGCATTGACATAACAAAGATTACTCCATCAACCAGGGTTGCTCTTCGCAACGATAGCTATGTTCTCCATTTGATTTTACCTAGCAAAGTGGATCCTTTAGTCAACCTTATGAAAGTTGAAAAAGTTCCTGATTCTACTTATGATATGATTGGTGGTCTTGATCAACAAATCAAGGAGATTAAGGAGGTTAATGTCGTTTCAACATTTGTTTGTGTTAGCGTATCTAGTAACTTCCCATCTTTGGTCATGCGTACTAAGACCACAACTATTTTGCATTTTATAGATTCTGTATATTGATATTCTTTTGTCATATATTTCAGGTTATTGAGCTTCCTATTAAACACCCTGAATTATTTGAGAGTCTTGGAATTGCCCAACCAAAGGTATCTTAAGCATTGTCAAGTTATTTTGATTGGTATTTTAATTAGTTAACAGTGAATGGACATTCTTATCCTATCTTAACTTATCTGTCAAAAAATAGGGAGTACTGCTTTATGGACCTCCAGGAACTGGGAAAACACTGTTGGCAAGAGCTGTTGCACATCATACTGATTGTACCTTCATTAGGGTTTCTGGCTCTGAACTAGTGCAAAAATATATTGGAGAAGGCTCTCGAATGGTGAGAGAACTTTTTGTAATGGCCAGGTTTGTTTTTTACTCTCACATTGACAATTAAATATTACGGAGTATGTTACTTTGGTGCCTTAATTCTGTGGGATTGAAGGCATTAGCCAAAAATGATTGTTGGGGGCGTGGAGGGGAAATGTTTTCTTTAGTACACTTTGCATAAAGTAATAATAATAATAGTTGGGGAAAAGAAAAATGTTTTTTGGGGAAAAACTTTCCCAATGTTTAGTTAGTTATGCTGGAAAGTGTTTAAAGACTAGCTTAGTTAGGAATATCTTGGGATAAAAATAGTATTACATAGAACATAAAACATTTATGCATCTTTTAATATAAATGATTTTATGCCTATAGGCAATTAGGCATAAAAGCAAGGTTTCCTTGAAAACTACTCCGTATTTATTATGCACTTTTCAGTCAAGTAAACAATGTAAATCATAAAACAACTTATGTATAGAATCAGAGACGGAGGCAAAGGGGGGGCAGGGGCAGCTGCCCCCCCTCAGCCCACCCCACCCTACCCTATATTGTATATAATATGTATATATAGTACATTATTGATATAAGTATTATAAAGCAGATTATGTAAACAAAAGCTTTGGTAGACAAAGGTGGTAGGAAATGTGTTTGAGTTTGGGAATGGCTTGGGTTCGAATCCTTGCATTGATAATGACACAATCTTCTTCACAACTTTGCTTAACACAATTGAATTTTGGCATGATATCTATAACTTTCTTTTATATTAATAATGGGATGTCTTTCTATTTTATATTAATAATGAGATGTATATATAATTTTCTTTATATTAATAATGGAATGTGTAATTTATAATGTGTTTTATATTCGAATTGTTTTATCAAATTAATTATGTTTCATATTTTATTATAAATATTTTTATAAAGTTTTAATATGTTTTATTTTTCGCTATATCCAACAATATCTATTGTTATATTTCTTAAGTGTTTCATTTTTTTTTTTCAAATTTTCTCTTTTATTTTAATTTTTTCCCTGAAAAAAATTTCCGAATCTGCCATTGAATCCATCCTTACTTCTTTGCCCCCCCTCAACATATTTTCTGGCTCCGTCCCTGTATAGAATATTTTATGCCAAGTGAATGGGGCTTTTAAGAAACTGGTTTTTTGTTTTCTACACTTTCTCCTTGTTAAGTACTCCTTGTTCCCTTCTATCTCAGTGTTAAAGTTCAGTTATTGAAAGCTTTGTTATATGCAATGCCATTTGAGCTTTGGTTGAGATGAGAAACTTTATGAATGTGCATTTGGTAGCAGAAGAATTTCTGAGTTAGTTTTCTCCCAGTTAACTGGTCCACTTACTCAAGGTAGGGATGGAATTGAACCGAATTTAAGAAGTTGGCAATTGACTGAATTGAGTATGCTGTTGCTTTTTGAAGTTAGTTTTAGGTGCTTGAAGAAACATGTGTCAGAACCTATTGATCATGTGTTTGGGTTTTACAACACCCTCTAATTATTTCCTATGGATACACTTGAGGAGTATCATATGCTTTACTTATTGTGCCATCGTCTTAAGTAGTTGTGGTTTTGTTGTTTGGCAGAGAACATGCTCCGTCTATTATATTTATGGATGAAATTGATAGCATTGGGTCAGCTAGAATGGAATCAGGAAGTGGGAATGGTGACAGTGAAGTGCAACGCACAATGCTTGAGCTCCTTAACCAGCTTGATGGATTTGAGGCATCAAACAAGATCAAGGTTAGTCATCGGTTGAAATTGATTAGGAGCTTTTCTTTTAATCAGCATATGTGTGTGTATGATTGATATATACTATTATTTTGGTCTCTATTGTCTTTTGTGGTCAAATGCTACAATATAAGCTTGTATTCCTTTCAGGTATTGATGGCCACAAACCGTATAGATATTCTGGATCAGGCCCTTCTCAGACCAGGAAGAATTGACCGAAAAATTGAATTTCCAAATCCGAATGAAGAGGTAGAGAACTTCTTCTCAATTGGTTATGTATATATTCATTGAAAGTTGTTACAAGTGTCCAGATTTCTACTTGTTGGATTCTTGTATTTCTTGCCCATTCGACTCTCACTCTATTTCCATATTGAGGTTTTAGTTTGAAAAGAATCCCTTTTTTATCATGAAAAAGAAAAAGTAGTTTTGCATCTCATCCTACTCTAAATAATGAGCGTCTTTTCCTTCCTGTTTGCTCCTACATCAACTGAATGAATAATTGATGTTGGTATTCAGTCTCGCTGGGATATCTTGAAGATTCATTCTAGGAAAATGAACTTGATGCGTGGGATTGATCTAAAGAAGATAGCAGAAAAGATGAATGGTGCTTCTGGTGCCGAACTTAAGGTGAGTTGGCTTCCAGTTCCTTGATTTGATGATTTCATATTCTCGCAAATTGCATGTTTTCTTGAGTGATGACATAATATTATTAGTGAATGAAGCAAAGAAATAGATAGATAGGAAGAAATTGTTAATTATTTACACGTGGGTGCAGGCTGTTTGTACTGAAGCGGGGATGTTTGCTCTACGAGAAAGGAGGGTCCACGTGACACAGGAAGATTTTGAGATGGCAGTGGCGAAGGTGATGAAGAAGGATACAGAGAAGAACATGTCATTGCGCAAGCTATGGAAGTAAGTAATTGAGACGTAGGTCGTCCCAGTTGTCATCTGGCAACACCGAATGCTTGCTAGTTTTTGAGTCAGACTTGGAAGAAATTGTGTATGTTTTTACGATGCATAACGCACGAATGTACCCGTCCTATTAAATACAGTTTTACACTTCTTGTTAACTGCTCACAAAACAATCAAAACGTTACGCAAATCTGGAAAAGAGAACGAAGCTCATGGTTTTGTGCTACTTTGTATATGAGCGAATTTATTGACTTGTGCAAAGTTGTCTTCTCTGACTGCCTGCCTTATCCGATCCCATCCATTTTCCACTTGTTTGACTGAAATTTGATCAGACTCTGATCTCTCCCAAGTCCAAACCTAACCTTTCTCCATCACCGACTCACTGTAGTGTTTTCAATCAATCCTCCCAGCGGCAGAAAGAAAAACTCCAATTCTCGTCTCAACATTCAATCATTCATCAATCAAAACCAGGAATATAATGACCTCAACCGCTCTCCTCCTCCTCCTCCGGATATTCTTATCCCTTCTTACCTTCTCATCAGCTGCCTCCACTTGCAGCTATGGCTGTGATTTGGCTCTAGCTTCATACAATGTTTGGCCAGGCATGAATCTCACCTTCCTCTCCCAACTCTTCTCCACTAGTCTCCAGAAAATTGTTGACTACAACCCCACTTTCGATTATACAGGCCCGTATAGCATCTTAGAAGACTCCAGGATTAATATCCCATTCCGATGTGATTGTCTGGAAAACGGCCACTTCTTGGGGCATGTGTTTCCATACTCCGTTGCGGCCGGGGACACCTACGATAGGATTGCGAACCTCTACTTTTCCAATTTAACCACTGTTGACTGGTTGAAGACGACTAATAAGCGGGATACGACGACGTTGAATGTGACGGTGAATTGCTCGTGCGCGAATACGCCGGATGTGGCCAACAAGTACGACTTGTTTATTACGCATCCCCTGAGGCCGGGGGAGAGCTTGCTCACGCTGGCCGGAGCGACTAATGTCAGGTTAGATTTGCTGCAACGCTACAATCCAGGACTGGATGTCCAAGCTGAAACTGGATTAGTATTTATTCCAGGAATCGGTATGTCTTACAATTCTGATAGTCAAGGATTTATTTCGTCCAAATTAAAAGACGAGGACTAAATTTGAAAAATTACAATAGTCGAAGGACTATTGCTAGAATTAACTCTATATATAATCATACATTTCATTATATATATATATATATATATATATATATAGAAGAGCGCTCATATGCGGCGGGGTCTTACGGTGCGGCGGTGCGGTCAAATTCCAGAATACACCAACAGTGTTAACAATATGCACCAACAGTGTAATAAAAACACACCCCAATGAAATATAATAAAACATCACAAAATACACCACAGACTCAAAAAAACACACCATATAACTCACCATCCCCAATGGTGTATTTCCGAACAGTGTATGGTGTTTTTACTCACACCTAATGGTGTGTGTTTGGTGATGCAGGGTTCTGTTTACTCTGTTTTGTGTGGTGTATTTCCTAACGTTGATGGTGCATATTTGGTGAACTATTGGTGTTGCCGCACCGTAAAAAATAACCGCACCGTAAGACACTGCCGCACCTGAACCCGCCTCTATATATATATATATATATATATATATATATATATATTCTTATTCAAGATTTATCAACTAAAAATTAACTTTCGTTTCTTCCAGATCCCTCAATGCCATCATCACTTCCGTCTGGAGGTATGTAAACAAATAAACAAATCTCAAGTGCTCCATTGTGTTTATGAGTGTAAATAAGTCAAATTATTTGCGAGTTATTTGAGTTTTATTATTTATTTACACTTTTAGGATGCACATTTGTCAATTTAAAAGATTAGTTTTTAAATTGAAAAATCAATGTTAATATTGATTTTTTAATTCGTGATTTTGAGTTTCATCCTCATCCCTCAAATTTTAGAATATTAATTTAATCAATAAAATGAATATCAGTTAATTATCTATAAAAATATTGCCAACAAAATAATTGGTAACTTTTATTTGATTAAAAGTAAACAGTAAAATTACAATAAAAATACATTTATTATTATACTATATAATTGAGATCGATGCCAGGGTACAATTATGTATGATATATATAATGATATCATATATAATCCGTATTAATATTGACTGACATTCTAAATTTTTACCATAATTTTTCAAAAAAATACATGATTTTTTCTGACTCCCCGGTTAGGAATGTAAAGAACTCGCAAGTATGTGTATATGGTTTTACCTTTCTGTACATCAACCGGCATTATGCTCTCCTTTCTCGCTTATAGGCACGCTTATCTGATCTATAGTAACACTTTATCCTTTGTTTCTACTGCAGAGAGCTTGAGGAAAAGGAAATGGTGGATATTGTTGGCAGTTATTCTTCCTTGTGTGATATTCCTATTGATTGTATGCTCCATTTTCTACTTTCAATGGAAAAAGAATGCAAAAGGTGAGGCTTTGTGTAATACCAGGATTTGGGAAGAAGATGACAAACATGTTTTGATAATATATATCCCTCTAATATCTCGCTTTTCATGATTAATAATCTGCAGGTGAAGAAGCTAAATCAAAAGCCAGTCTGCTGCTAGATGAACTAAGAAGTGTTGTCACACTCTCAAGAGTGAACAAGAGCAATATAGACAAAAAAATTAGTCATGAACTGCAGGTATTCAGTTTTAAGAGCATTGCTATGGCCACAAACAATTTCTCTAATGCAAGTATGCTTGGAAAGGGTGGTTTTGGACCTGTTTACAAGGTAAGCTTCACAAAATCTTTCCTTTTAAAAAGTTTTGGCAGTGACTAATTAATCTTATTGTACTGAAATTTAAGGGAATATTACCTGATGGACAAGAAGTAGCTATTAAGAGACTCTCGAAAAGCTCGGGCCAAGGGCTATTGGAATTCAAGAATGAAATTTTATTGATTGCCAGACTCCAGCATACTAATCTTGTTAGGCTTTTGGGTTGCTGCATCGAAGGAGATGAGAAAATTTTAATTTACGAGTATATGCCCAATAAAAGCTTAGATTCCTTTTTATTTGGTAAGTATACTATACACATTGGTAATTGCAAGTGATTTATATAATTATATACTATCTGTTGTATTCATAGTTGTATGAACAGACCCTGACAGGAAGGAGCTGCTAAGATGGGGGAACCGATTGAACATTGTAGAAGGAATTGCTCAGGGGTTACTCTATCTCCACAAATATTCGAGGTTGACGGTCATCCATAGAGATCTAAAAAGTGGCAACATCTTACTCGACGAAAACATGAACCCAAAAATATCTGATTTTGGCATGGCTAGAATCTTTGCTGGGAGGCAAGATATTGAAGCAAACACCAATAGAATTGTTGGAACCTAGTAAGTAACTATGCCATATACTATATTAAATGCATGCCCAGAAGTGGATACATGCATGCATGCTAACAACATTATTGTTTGGTTATGTTGTCACTTTAGTGGATACATGTCTCCGGAGTATGCGCTGAGGGGAATTGTTTCAACCAAGATAGATGTATTTAGTTTTGGTGTTCTAGTTCTAGAGATTGTGAGCGGCAAGAAAAACAACAGCTCGTATCGTTTGGAACACCCACTGAATCTCATTGGTTTGGTAAGGTCATCAACATTACATACAGAGTATTAGCAAAATATATTTGTTTTATGACAATATATATTTTTGCAGGCATGGGAGCTGTGGAGAGAAGGGAGAGGTATAGAGCTAATGGATCCTGCACTGAGTCTGAGTGGATCCTGCCCAGAAGCAGAAGCAATGAGGTGTATTCAAGTGGGATTGTTGTGCGTGCAAGACGACGCAAAATATAGGCCTTCAATGTCAAGTGTGGTCTCCATGCTTGCAAATGAAAGTGTACAGCTACCTTTGCCTAAACAACCTGCATTTTTTATTGCAGAGGAAGGTGCACAACAGTCGGAAAGCCAAGAAAAGAATGAAAGTTTGTCCACTAATGGACTAACAGTTTCAGAACTGCTAGCTAGATAAGCATCATATATAGGTTAATCAATTCATAAAGATTGATTGTGATTCAAGGGGCAAATTTTTGTTGTTGAAACTCTCGTCTTGTATAGTTCTATGGTCCATTCTAGACTTCTGCAAACTAGCTAGTTGGTCTGTCAATTCCCAAGACGAACTATTATTCCAATTTTACCACTATTGACTAAAGCAATTATTAAGTAAATTGTTAATGTAATACTATTCCATTAAACCTTGGCCTTAGCTTATGTACATGAATGAACATATAATGATATAATGATTGTGAAATAAAAGTGTAGCACTAATTCACACGTTTCTGCGTGCTACTTGGTAGATTTTCCCAGACGGGGATTCCGTCCTTGCAGGAACCAGGATCAACGTGCCATTCCCATGTGATTGCCTGTCGATTAACGGCGAATTGGGGCGCATGTTTCCGTACACCATTCGGGCCCTCTATATCATTTCCACGTCCTACTATTCCAACTTAACCACTTATCAATGGTTGCAGAAGTTTAACCTTCTCTCGGACAAGGATGTTCTTTTTTTATCTCAAAAGGCTGAATCTCAACCTTAAGGGTCCCCACACTCTGACCCGACAGAGCATGTGAGAGGAGGATGTTCTTTTCCTGGATATAGGGATGGTGTTGAACGTGGTGGTCAACTGCTCGTGTGAGAATAAAAATTTGCCCCAATTGATAGTTCTTCTCCCCATCTTACCTTAATTTGAGGAGGAGAATTGAGAATTGAGAATTGGGATGAATTTTAGGACTTAAATCCTTTTATTCATGTTCAAATTGGGATCTTAATTTAAAAAAAAAAAAACGAAAATACCCTTAATAATTTCATATATCGGCATGTCTTAAATGAAGAGGTGACCGGTGCGATGAATTTTGGCACTAAAACAATATTTGTAGATAAAAATTGGTACTAAGATAATAGTCGTGGATGAAAATTGGTAGGAATTAAACATGTGAATCAAAATTGTCATTTTACTAATACTTGTAGGACCAAAATTTGTATTTGCTCAATATACTTTTTATTTATGGTCCAAATAGTTATATGGGGCATACATGTAATCATGTTTGCTCTACTTGAGGGTTTACTTTGACTCTTTGAGTCAAGCGGGCCAACTAAAACCAATACATCCCATAATTGC